TTTAAAATACTTTGAATGTGCTTCTGGGTAGCTGAATAGAGCAGGTTCAGCCATCAGGGAGCTACAGTTTTTCACATTTTACTCTTCCACTAATGTTTCTCATTGAATTGGTCTAAGATTGGCACTGGCATCAATGTTTTTAAAGGTTTCACACTGACTTTGAAGTACAGGTGGCTTTAAGCTAGACATAGATGAATCTTAGAAGAAAATAAAGTATTATAAAACAGAGTTAGATTTGCATATTTTCAATGAGTGCATAATTAGAGGAAACTTCTAAATTACCTTTGAAAATTTGCATCCTGTTTTGGATTGCCTTTACTGTATGATCTCACCCAAATGCAGAATCCAATCAACTATTCTGTCCTGTATCCACACATGTGAAATATCTAGGCTCAATACTAAGAGCAAACGATGATAATGACACATGCCCTTCCTACACAAGGATGACACTGTTTTAATGAGATGAGAAATACACAGAAAGGGCCCTGGTGCTCCTTATGTAATGATGCACGCCTTCAGAGACAAGCTGACAGAGGGCTCTATAAAAGCTAACAATGGAAAAAATAAGATATATAATTTATTAATACCTTTCCAAAAAATAAAATTCAATCTCATTAAATGCTCTCATAGCAACTGGAAGTTCATGTTGATTTTTAAAACTTTTCATTTGAAAAGAGGTATTACAATTAAATCAAGATGTTCATGAATAGTTAAAGGTTACTTCATTTTAAGGATTTATTTGTTTATTTTGAAAGTCAGAATTACAGAGAGAGAGAGGGAGACAGAGAGAGAGAAAAAGAGAGAAAGAGAGATCTATCTTCCATCTTCTGGTTTACTCCCTGGATGGCCACAACAGCCAGTGATGGGCCAGGCCAAAGCCAGGAGCCAGGAGCTTCATTCAAGTCTCCCATATGGATGGCATAGGCCCAAGTACCTGGGCCACCTTCTACTTCTTTTCCCAGGCTATTAGCAGGGAACTGGATTGGAAGTGGAGCAGTAGGGATAAGAACTGGCACCCAGGCTGGCACCGCGGCTCACTAGGCTAATCCTCCGCCTGTGGCACCGGCACACTGGGTTCTAGTCCCAGTCAAGGCACCAGATTCTGTCCCAGTTGCCCCTCTTCCAGGCCAGCTTTCTGCTGTGGCCAGGAAGTGCAGTGGAGGATGGCCCAAGTCCTTGGGCCCTGCACCCCATGGGAGACCAGGATAAGTACCTGGCTCCTGCCGTCAGATCAGTGCGGTGCGCTGGCCGCGGCGGCCATTAGAGGGTGAACCAACGGCAAAGGAAGACCTTTCTCTCTGTCTCTCTCTCTCTGTCCACTCTGCCTGTCAAAAAAAAAAAAAAAAGAACTGGAACCCATAGGGGACACTAGTGCCTCAGGGATGGCTTTACCTCCTATACCACAAAGCCAGTCCCAAAAAGTTACTTCTTGCATATAATTTTATAACTTTCTATTTCACTTTGTTTTCTTTCTTGTGATAATTTTAATCATACAATTCATTACAATTCTAATTTTCTACATATTCGTATCAACTATTAGAATGTGAGTTCTGGTAGATGACAGTTTTCACTAAATCTCCCTTACATGGCCTAGTACCTTGCATAAGTTTGTACTCAGTGAATAGCTCTTTGATGTGTGAACAATATGTTAAGATGAGCTAATATGTTTAACTCAGAATAGCAGGTAATGTTCAAGCCAGGCTTATGTACCACCTTCCTGGTTTTCTATTGCTGCTATAACAAAAGACCACAAATACTGTGGCATAAGATACGAAAAACCTATTCTTCCCCAGCTTTAGAGATCGGAAGTCTGAAATTAGTTCCACTGGCATAAAGTCAAGGTAGTGGCAGAGCTGGTTTACTTCATGAGGCTTTGGGAAAGAATCCATATTATTGCTTTCCTCAGCTTCTAGTGGCTACATGTATTCTTAGCTGGTGGTCCCTCCCTCTGTCTTCAAAAATCATAACTAATCACTGCTTCTGTCATCACATTGCCTTCTTCTCTGATTCTGACTCCTCTTTCTTATCTCTTATAAAGACTCTTGTGAATATATTGGGACCATCTGTATAATCCATAGTCATCTCTCTGATGTCAAGACCTTTGATTTCATTGAAGTCCTTTTGTCCATATAAAGTAACATTCAAAGGCCCAGGAGTCAGAATGCAGATGTACTTCGTGATTCAGCCTACCACACACTACTTTATTGAAAAATTCTGATTGAGTCAGATCCAGTTGAGAAATGGAACATGGAACAAGAGAAGTCACTTATATTTTAGACCTAGTGTGGCTACTTCCTAACCATAGGATTCTGGGAAAATTCCTTCACATCTTCAGGCTTCCTCTGCAAAATACCAAGACTAAAGCCAGTGCTCTCTTACATTCTCTGATTATGGGTTTCCAGTGGTTATTAACTAAGATATACTTTTTACATTGTCCACACTCATGGCTTCACAAAATTCACATGGCTTCAAGCATACAAATACAGTGCAGAAAATGGTTTCAAGGTCTCACATTCTGTCACTAAGAAGGAGAAAGGACTTCTTGTAGGTAATAGGATATTTCTCTGGACATCCATAACAACCCAACCTTAATTTGAGGGGAAGATGGGGATAGAGAAAAACACAATGCATGTGGTAAAACAAGGTCTGCATCCTTCCTGTTTCATGGTTCATTCAAAACAAACATAAATAGAAAACCCTTGAGATAACAAAAAATTGAAACTGGAACAACTCATCAAAGTACTGTATAATGGCTTATTATGTGCCCAAATCTTAACAAAATTAGAGGGAAAATCAAACTAAAATTATTGTCCATGTATCTGCCAAAGATCATTACATTCTAGAAAACTTAGTCATGCACTAGACTAAACAAAAAATACAGTCACAGACAGTGCTATATTGGACACTTATTTCAAGGAAAAGTTTCAGAGAGGATCAAAACAGAGGGTTTTTGTCACAGTAAATCCTTCAGTCTCACTCAGTGCCCAGCAAAGAGTAAATGGCCAATGAGTGTGAGATGCATCAGATCAAGCCCTTTGCAATACTCTTAATAAAATGTGAAAACTTCACATGATTTGAGGCAGAAAAAGTAGATATAAGGGTACTTCAACAAATTTGTAGAAACTCTAATTAAGAATAAGTTTATTTTGGTGCCAAAACATTGAAATTCATGATAAGAGGTTCATAAAAAGTTCATGGAAATGTATACTATGAAAAACCTATACATAAATTTGAAAATTTTTGCACCAAATTAAACTTACCTTGCAGTTCTATTTTTCCACAATTTGAAGTTTTTTCATATGGTCCTAGGTAGGGCTAGAAGCACTAAGACAAAAAGCTGTATACTTGGTTGATTAGGGCCATTATTGTGAACATATGAATAACTTAACAACAGAGGGATTTCAAATTTTTCCCGGGCTTCCTTTATTTTATTTTATTTATTTGAAAGAGAGAAAAAAAGAAACAGTTTCCATCTTCTAGTTCACTGCCAAGATAGCTACAACAGGCCAGTCGGCAATGCAACCCAGGTTTCTGATATGGGTGGCAGGGACTCAACTACTTGAGACATCATTGCTGCCTTCCAGGGTCTGTATTTGCAGCAAACTGGAATCACCACTTGGAGTCAGGCATCAAACTCTAGTCTAGCCATTGGGATAGGCTTTCTTGTTTTTTGATAACACCTTGCACTATTATGAAAGATAAAACTGTTTCAGAGAAAGAACTAGCAAAAAGTAAAACGAAAGTGAGTGTGAAGGTCGGGCTGCTAACAGGGAATAAAGTGTTTTCAGGAAGAATCAGAGCATACAAGGAGGAAAGGAGAGGGCTTGGCTTGGGTTCTGTTTTTTCTAAAGCCCTGGCGCCCTCTAGTGAAAAGATAGAGCAATCTAGCATCCACACAGAGAAGTTTTCCTAACCACCTGTGTTCTGGCCTGGGAATCAAGGTTTTTTTCTGTTTCCCTTTTTTTATGGGGTGGGGGACACACCATGTTTCTTCACTACTAAGTGTTTTTTATATATTCTTTTCTTAGAAGTCACATTCATTTTATCTCCACAAGCAAAGCCTCAAGTTCCACATTACCCCAGGAGTGAGGACAATCACTGTATGCTTACAATACTTCTGTTTCTGTTTAGTCTCAATGAGGAACATTTTTAATTTTTAAATTTCTTAAATCCATTCTTTAAAAGCATATTTAACCAGAGAAATTGACCTGGAATTTCAACAACACAAAATTCAGAAGCCAGTCAGTTTCCACTGTTTCCTTTGCCAAAAGGCATTTAAGAGATTCCCTAGAATTTACTCCCAGTGGTCTGAAAAACACCTGACAGAGATAGATGGTTATAATAATAGTGTTAATTAGAAGACTGCATCCATAGCCACTCCCCAAGGTCTCCTCTGTTCCATCTACCTCTAGATGAAGACAGTGTGGGTGAATCTAACAATTTGTTGGGGAGTTCTGGATGAGGACTGTACAGGTGGAGCAGGCTCACCTGTTCTCTGCTATGTTTAATTTCACTTCTCAGAACACAGTAAAGTACAGGCAACAGTAACCAGAGTTGTGCTATGTGGAGACCCTTTGAAAACCCCATCTCAGAGAGGAAGATGTAGAAGAAGAGGAGCTCGCCTCTGTGTATTCCGTTAGGACCCATCGTCTTAGTGTGCGGGAGGCCACTATCACTGCTGTAAAAACGGAAGCGGGTAGGATCGTTCCAATAATAAAATGGAAATGAGAAGTTCAGAAAAAAAACCAAATAGCTCGAGCCGCAATGTTTGGGAATAAGGAAGGAAAAGGGAACTCAGATTATAATAGGCTTTCTCCAGCAATACAGGACAATAAAGGGTTCTGATCATTTCTTTCTGCATCTTGGGAAAGCAGAGAGGCGTTGCGGGCGCTCTGCCTGTCCCGCGGGCGCGGCTGCGTTCAGCACCTCGGAAAGCGCCCCTGGCTCCGCGCGGGAGCCACGCATGCTCCTTGGGGTCCGCCGCCGCGGGTCTGCGAGCACTGATACAACTCCGGCGAGCGCCGCCGGCAACTCTCTCGGAGTTGGCAATAGCGGAGAGATCCAGACACCCGCGGACCTCCAGGCAGTCAGAGCCGGGGAGCCAGAACATCCCAACCTCATTTTCTCTCAGCAGCAACAGTAGAGAAAAACCGACAAAGGTATTGGAAACGGCAGGCGCGGGCCCTGGGCGGCTGGGTGGGTTAGGCGCCAGCGCCCTAAGTGACAGCGGGGAACGGAGGGAGGCAGTCAGCGGCGTGCATGCATGGGGACCCGGTGACTGCGCCCCCGGCCCAGGCAGCCTGGGACGCCGACCGCTGGCTCGCCTGGGGAGCTGCATTTCTCTGGTCTCTTGCCCCTCTCCGGAGCAGCCGCTGAGTTCAACTCCAGAACCTGCGCTCTGACCCCCATCTGCACTCGCTTCCCAGGCGCTGTCTTCAGCGGCTACTTTGAAAGCTCCCGCGCACTGGCCGCGCGCTTGCCTGGGGACTAAACCCGCTGCCAATCGTGCTCCCTACAGTCTCGCCCCCCGGAACATGCCCTAGAGGCACCTGCGCATGCAGGTGGCTGCGACAGCCGCGATGAACACCATGAAGAAGGCGGCGGCCGGCGGGGACGAGCTCGCAGGACTCTTGGGTCTGGTACCGGACCTCCTGGAAGCTGCCAACTCAAGTGTCAACGGGTCGCTGCAGCTACAGGACTTGTGGTGGGAGCTGGGGCTGGAGCTGCCGGACGGCGCGCCCCCCGGCAGTGTCGCGGCGGAGAGTGCGGACACGGAAGCGCGGGTGCGGATCCTTATCAGCGCAGTGTACTGGGTGGTTTGCGCGCTGGGGCTGGCGGGCAACCTGCTGGTGCTGTACCTGATGAAGAGCAAGCAGGGCTGGCGCAAGTCCTCCATCAACCTCTTCGTCACCAACCTGGCGCTGACAGACTTCCAGTTCGTGCTCACCTTGCCCTTCTGGGCCATGGAGAATGCGCTCGACTTCAGATGGCCCTTTGGCAACGCCATGTGTAAGATCGTGTCTGTCGTGACGTCCATGAACATGTACGCCAGCGTCTTCTTCCTCACCGCCATGAGCGTGGTGCGCTACTACTCGGTGGCCTCGGCTCTAAAGAGCCACCGGACCCAAGGGCACAGCCGGTGCGACTGCTGCGGCCAAAGCCTGGGAGACAGCTGCTGCTTCTCGGCCAAAGCCCTGTGCGTGTTCATCTGGGCTTCAGCCGTGCTGGCCTCGCTGCCCAATGCCATCTTCTCCACCACGATCAAGGTGATGGGCGACGAGCTGTGCCTGGTACGCTTCCCGGACAAGTTGCTGGGCGGCGACCGGCAGTTCTGGCTGGGCCTGTACCACTCGCAAAAGGTGCTGCTGGGCTTCCTGCTGCCTCTGGGCGTCATCAGCCTGTGCTACCTGCTGCTGGTGCGCTTCATCTCCGATCGTCGTGTGGTGGGGACCGAAGGAGGGACAGCGGCCAGGGGCGGCCTGACGGGAGCCAGCGCCCGGAGACGGGCCAAGGTCACCAAGTCAGTGACCATCGTCGTTCTCTCCTTCTTCCTCTGCTGGCTGCCCAACCAGGCGCTCACCACCTGGAGCATCCTCATCAAGTTCAATGCGGTGCCCTTCAGCCAAGAGTACTTCCTGTGCCAGGTGTACGCATTCCCAGTGAGCGTGTGCCTGGCACACTCCAACAGCTGCCTCAACCCCATCCTCTACTGTCTCGTGCGCCGTGAGTTCCGCAAGGCGCTCAAGAGCCTGCTGTGGCGCATCGCGTCGCCTTCGCTCACCAGCATGCGCCCCTTCACCGCCACCACTAAGCCAGAACCCGAAGACCACGGGCTGCAGGCCCTGGCGCCAATCCACGCAGCCGCCGAGCCCGACCTGCTCTACTACCCGCCTGGCGTCGTGGTCTACAGCGGGGGGCACTACGACCTGCTGCCCAGCAGCTCCGCCTACTAACGCCGGCGGAGGCCCAGGGTGTGAGGTCTGTTGGGCAAAATGGCCTTGAAGTAGGTGGGAAGGGGATGGTGCTCCAGTGTGGCGGCGCCCACAAAAGAAGCGGCACCGGGAATGCAGAGAAGCAAGGGTTTGAGAGTGAGGCTCAGCCACAAGGTGCACAATGGAGCGCATTTTTTCCAGCGACTTTCAAAGTCTTTGATAATGGCTGCCGGCTGCCTCCAGCGAGAGGTGCGGCTCTCTCAGATCCCTCCCTCTACGCTTTGGCCCTGGAGGCTGTGGCTGTGCAAAGGTCCAACTCAAAGTGTCTAGAGAGCCTGGAGTTTTAGAGGCAAGAAACTTTCCCCCTTGTTAGAAGAGGGGGCGTGTTGGTCCATTCCCAGGGGGAGTGTGGGAGGAGAAGCACCTCCCTCCGAGTCATTGTAGCATTGATCACCCTGCTTTGGGAGGCTGGGCACTTTCTGCGTCCTACCTCATCGGCCTCTGAGCTCAGAAGTCACCAGGAGCATAACACCTGCCGCCAGCAAGGGGGAGCGATTCACTTAAGAGTAGTGTGGCCGCGCGAGAGGGAGCTGACTACAGGGACTGAGGAGAGAACCACGTCGGGGTACTGTCCCAAGAAGGAAAACGTGGGCTCACCTGTTCATTTGGTAACAACAGGAAGTGGAGCTCCAGGCGCGGGCTGAAAGCCCTGGCGCTTCACTTTTGAGGGCTCTCTGGGTACCTGGAGACTGAGCTCCGTTCTGGGAGCCGCAGGTGAGCCGGGCCCAGAACGCCTACCAGAGCTCTACTGGAGGGTGGGGGCGCTCCTGAGGCCCTTCCTCTTCCCTCCGTGAAAATCCGGATTCCCCTTTGAGGCTGTGGCCCAGACAAGAGGCGTGGCTCAGGGCCGTTCTTAGGAGGCTGAGCTAGCAATGCTGTTCCAATGTGCAGGGGGCTCTTGCCAAGCAAATCCTCGGAGCTGAAGTCTGATCTTTCAAGAGAAGGGGCAGGGTGAGAAACAGAAGGGAAGAGAAGCAAAACCTGTCCTAAAGGGAGGAGGGGAGGGGAGGTGCTGGTTTGAGGGCACGCCCCGGAATATCAGGTGTGGGTTATTTACTGCTCATACTGTTCACAAGAGAAAGCAGAAATAGAATTCCCATAGGACATTACCTTAACCCATTCCATTTGTGCTTTGCACATTGAGCATGTGTGATGAATCCCGCCCACCCCCCAACTTCCAGTCTCTGTGGCTGTCTCCGAAGAATGACAGATTTCTCATGACAGCTCTCTTCTAGTCACAGCCGTTGAATATTGGAGACCCTCACAAAGTCCTGTCTTGAGCTGCTCTGAGAACTGGGATCACACCTCAGCGTCCCCATTCATATGCTTGCTTTGATAGCAGCACTACTGTTCTCCTTGATGATTTGGTTTGGGGTCAAGAAACCAGCAATGTAGGCAGTATTGTGGTTATTTTAATACAATAAATCGTTATTAGAAAATACATGTCTCTGAGCTGTAGAATTGCTGAGTGATTTTGTTGGAAATTTTTCTGCAGTGTTTCAGATGTAAGCTCAAAATGTGAGATGTAAAACTCCAGCCTCCCTTGCTTGTCCTGCTTTGTCACACAACACAGTGAAATTGCTAACCACTCATCCCTTGCCACAAAAACAAAACTGCCCAATTTCAGTCCTGAGCAGTCTTGAGAAGTTAGTTCTTTTAGAAACCAGACTCATGTTTCTGAAGTAGTCAAATTAGTCTTTCCTTGGGGAGAAAATTTGTTGATACTGAATAACAATTGGGATAACAAAAGTGGAGGTGTCCCCCAAAATACAAAATAAATGAGTGAACACTAGTAAGAACCAACAGTAGCATACCCCTGCATAACACCCATACTAAACTTTTAGTAAGAAACTCCTGTTAAAACAACTTATCACTTCAGTTGGGACAATAAGTTCATGTGTAAGTAGCTTAGAACTCAGAAAAGTGTTTTGGAGTGTGTGTGTTATGCTATATGGGCACTGGAAAGACAGAAGAGGCTAGAAGTGAGGTCTTCATATGAAACAGCTCTGTGGAAAGCATTGCCTGTCCAAATCCAAAGCTGAAGGCTTCTGAGACCATAACAGGGGGATCCATGACCGTGATTTCTGTCCTCCACAAGGACAAAGGGGTTGGAAAGGAAATAGTCAACTCAACTGACATCAGCCAATAGTTTTCACGTGTACCTCTTGCCAAACCTTGTGTTGGGTGCTGAGGTAAGGTCCATGGTCCAGATACATTCCTGACTTCATGTTTAGAAGGGCAGCCAGCCATGGACACAAGCAAGATCAGACAGGGAGCACCACAGCAAGGCTAAAAGAAAACTCAGAGGGAAGACAGGGGAAAGGAAGATGATTCCCCAGGAGGGATTCAGAGACTTCCTGGTCAAAGGGGTATTTGACATACAGGGCACAGTGTGGGCCCGATGCAGGGTGGTGAGGGAGTCATGAAGACATTTGAAGCTGAGGGCATAGTGTGACCGAAGGCCTGGAGGCTGGAATGTATGCTTGATTGAGGAGGCAGGAAGCAAAGCACTGGCTTCCCCTACTCCTTCCCAGGATTTCCATTGAAGTTATATGTGTCCTTACATTTGTTTTATCTGTCTGGAAACAGAACTTTTTTGCCAGAGAGAACAGGTTGTTAGTGTACTGAGAAGAAGCATTTGAGGTCCCAACAGTGCTTAAAGGCTTTTTAAAATTGGATTCTACCCAGTTGGTCAAACTTCAGTGGAACTGAGTACAATGAGTAAAGTATTTGCACATCATGTTTTAGTGGGTGTGTGGAGGGGATCATAACTGCTATAGCTCCCTTCCTCAGCTCAGTATCCTATCTGATGTCCCATCTAAAAGAAGTTTCGAGCCGGCGCCGTGGCTCACTAGGCTAATCCTCCGCCTAGCGGCGCCGGCACACCGGGTTCTAGTCCCGGTTGGGGCGCCGGATTCTGTCTCGGTTGCCCCTCTTCCAGGCCAGCTCTCTGCTGTGGCCAGGGAGTGCAGTGGAGGATGGCCCAGGTGCTTGGGCCCTGCACCCCATGGGAGACCAGGAAAAGCACCTGGCTCCTGGCTCCTGCCATCGGATCAGCGCGGTGTGCCGGCCGCAGCGCCGGCCGCGGCGGCCATTGGAGGGTGAACCAACGGCAAAGGAAGACCTTTCTCTCTGTCTCTCTCTCTCTCACTGTCCACTCTGCCTGTCAAAAAATAAAAATAAATAAATAAATAAAAAAGAAGTTTCATTTGTAACAAAGATGATGCCCTGTCATTGATCAGAGTTAACTTCTTGAGGGACCATATAGGATGGATCAATTTCCCAGCTCCCCCATCCAGTCATTTCTAAATCTTCCAATACCAGAACAGTCTTTAGAGAAACAGTAAATCAGTATGAACCCTGCAGGATGTCTCATTTATTTTTTTTAAAGATGTACTTATTTATTTCAAAGTCAGAGTTACACAGAAAGGAGAGGCAGAGAGAATGGTCTTCCATCCACTAGTTCACTCCCCAGATGGGCGCAACCCCTGGAGCTGAGCCGATCCGAAGCCAGGAACAGGAGCTTCTTCCAGGTTTCCCACGTGGGTACAGGAGCCCAAGGACTTGGGCCATCTTCTACTGCTTTCCCAGGCTATAGCAGAGAGCTGAATCGGAAGTGGAGCAGCCGGGACTCAGACTGGAGCCCATATGGGATGTCGGCAGGGCAGGCAGTGTCTTTACCCGCTATACCACAGTGCTGGTCCCAGGATGTTTCATTTCTAAACTTTACAAAGGCAGTGCAGATAGGTGAAGCAAGAAAGGTGGTTTGGTTCCACTTCTTTTATAATGCTCAGAGTACTGACACGGGGTCCTCTGAGTATGTGACCCTCAATACCCCAAGCAAAACCCCATGGAAGCAGGGGTTTTTCCTGATTATTCCTCTAAGTCAGTCATGACCTCATTTTCTCAGGATGGATGATGAGGCTGAAAGATGTGGAGAAGAGGGTGGAAAGAAGAATGGCAAAGATAGGGTAGTTGTCCACATGCATCCTATAAAGAACGGGAGAGTTTTATCTGCAAGTGAGGCACTAATAGGAGTAGGGTGGCAGAGCACGAGAAGTGCTGGTTTGGAGAGAATAATGCTTGAGGGTTGATAAATGAAACAACAATGCACTCGGGTCTGAGAAGACAGCCCAGCCTGGTGAGGACAGCACCAGAGATCTGGAAAGAATGGGATAAACTACAGGAGCCTGGAGTGCTTGGTGTCAGGTAAGGAAGATGTGTGTCCTGCTGGTAACACAGGTAAGCAGTGAACAGGAAGGAGCCCCCAGCCCTCCATCAGCCCTCTTGCCCTTTCTGCACATACACACATGTGGCCTGCTCCACAAGGATGTTCCAGATGTCCCAGCCTACAACACTAACCCTGCCGCAGTTCCCATTGTGATAACCAGGTAGCAGCAAAGAGCAGGCTTTTTAATCAAGGAGAAAGCAGTTGAGAGAATTGCAGCAGCAAAGTACAAGCCCAGGCAGGAGGAGGAGGAAGAGAACAAATTGAGATGACAGGAATCTAGCTGCGTTTGGAGACCACTGGAAGGAGGAAGCTGAAACACTGAATGACAACGGATCTGCTTGCAGGCTGTGTTTTTGGGATAGTAATCTGCAAAGCTGCTCTTGGCCTTGGGCCCCTGCTCTGGGTTTTATCATTAGAGGACTCAGCTCTACCTGTCTCCCTCCAGCTGCGCTCTTTTCTGCACAGGGAACCCACCGGGCTGAGTGCAGCCTGTGCCCCCCACCTTCTAGATCATGTGCCAGTACCTCAGACCTCAGAATAATTCATCCAAACACCCCTGAGTCCGTTGACAAATCCCTCACAAATCCTTTCTGGAATCCACCCCCCAGAGGGCAAAGCACACGACTGAGGCTATGAGACCCTAGTATGAGAGGGGGTAAGGAGGGCTGTTTGCAGGAGTGGCAGGGGGTGAAGGGTTGTGGGAGACCATGGATGTGCTGAAGGCAAAGTGCACACAAGGACTCACAAGGTGCTGGACAGAAATAAGAATGCAAGGAGAAGGGAAGACGAACGGGCTGTGGACCTGGGTCTGCATCCATACTTGCGGGCTGGACTCCACAAATGCTAGGAGTGCTCCTGAGCCCCTCATCCACCCAACAGTTGTGTGTAAGAGGACCCAAAGCTTTCCAGAGGACAAGCAGGACATGCTTCCTCTTCCCAGGATCACTGCCTCTATGAGCTGATGCTGCAGGGGCCTGGCCATGCTCTGAGCCCATAAATTCTACTATGTATGGGACAAACGACTACAGTATCTCAAAGACAGTTCATTTCATTTTTTCCTTCCTGGCAACAAAGACCTGGGATGGTTAGAAATCCAATGGAGGCAATCCATGAGTGCACGCCCAGACTCCGAGATGAGGTCAGATAGCAGCACAGCATTAACTCCTGAATACAGAAGGACAAATCTCCATTCTGCACTAGTCAGGCTCACTGGGTGTGGTACAGGCAAACGCTTAAGACCAGAGAAGACCTGGGGTGGGGGAACAGGAGGATGAACCACTAGCAGTAGTCTGGTGCACTCGCTGTCATTTGTTGAGCACCAACCAGGGCCAGCCCAGCCTAGGTGCTGTGGGCACAGGAAGCAACAGAACCAAAGTACCAGGGTGCAAAGCGCAGCTCTGCCACTAGTGACCTGGCTGATTTCAGGTGAGTTCTAGAACTCTCTGCCTCAGTTTCCTCATCCTCATAATGAGACCAGTGAGTGACAGCACCAGCTCCCAGGACTGCTGATGAACACAGGTGAAATACTTAGTGCAGTGGGAAGCACTCTCGGAGTTTTGTGTCATTACTCATGACTGAGGTAGGAACAACCATTCTAAATGTGCAGATGGGCAGATGTGGCTGAAGGAAGTCCGTTTGCTGCTGGATAACAAAGCCAGGATTCTAAACCAGCCTGATGCCAAAGTTTGTGATCATTCTATTAAGCCTTGCTCGTCTCTGGAGACTGCTAAAAACCTCACCCTATTAGGAGCAGCTGAAGAGGAATGGTTGGCGAAAAACTGCTTAGCCTGTAGAACAGAAGATCACAGCAGAAACCGGAGGCTGTTTTTTGAAAGACTTAATATCAACTCCAGAGGAGGGAAAAAAGAGCGTGGACTAGAAAGGACTTATTTTTTCCCTGTGTCAATGAAATAAGCTGCTTGAAGGTAGCAAATCCTCCAGCATGAGACATTTGGGCAGATTTGCCAGAAGCATCATAAATTAATAGGAATTAATTATGAGCAAATTAAATATGAATAAAGTAATACCACAAATCATCAGCATAATATTTGGCATATTTGATGAAATATGACTCCCCAACTACAAACGGCTCCTGGTTAAGATAGAAAAAAATATGCCATAAAACAAATCCAAGTGTCATGTGCAAATGACATCATATGCAATTAGTCTGCTTCTCAAGTTTCATCAAGGCCTAGAGGTTCACTCTGTCTCTCCAACTTACATGCTGAGAGGCAGTAGGGAGGGTGCTCATTGCTGCTACCACCCACACACACTCATTGCCCCCAGTGCACGGAGACATAGCCCACGTGATGGTGCCCAAATAGGAGGACTGCTGTGCAGAGGACTGGACAGTGTAGGAGGCTGCTGACCACAACTGAAATCACAGCACGGGAATCCAAAGGGCAGACCCCCAGGATGCAAAATTTCCAAAAAGACTGGTTTTATGCCATGCGTGTCACCTGTCAAAGGGTAGGATCAATGTCTCTTTATTGACCTAATTCACGTATCTAACAAAGAGAGCCACGAAGCAGCAGCCGATCAATGCCACTGCAGAGGCTGTGATCACCACGACAATGACGCTCCCGGCTGTGTTGACCAGGAAGCCCAGGCCACCGCCGACCAGGATCTGAGCCAGCTGCACCATGCAGGTGAGTGCAGCACAGTCCACGCCCTTCCCTCGCCCGCTGCTGTCCAGGGCCCCTCCTGGGGCCAGCTTGTGCCTCTGCAAGAGAAGCACAGGAACAGCATTTGATCGTGAGGAACTGTCGCGGAGGGTACAGGCGGACAAACTTTCTCTGAAGATCGCTCTGGATCCTATGACTACTCAACACTGCTGCCATGGTGCAAAATGATCTTACCGGTCAACAAATTGAGTTCCAACCATTTTATGGACACTGGCATTTGATCACATGGCATTTTCACTTGGCACTAAATATTATCCTTCTTTTGATATGTTTTTTCAATAACTTAAAAATGTAAAGGAAATCCCTGTCTCGTGGACTGCACAAAAACAGGTGACAGGCTGCATTTGCCCAGCAAGGCACTGGTCACCAACCCTGACTTAGGGCCCGGGAAGCCCTTCCCCTTCCTGCTCCGTGCAGCCTTCCTTACCCACAACAAAGCCTCAGATGCCTTCATTAACATAAAACGAAGCTAAATGATTAAAATATGCAAAATTGCCTCTTCCTAAGAAGAGAGTAAATACAATGTAGCAGAAGCTCAATAAATACCAATTCTTCGGTTTCTTAGTTTTAAAAATTTAAAAATTTTCAGAAGGATGTCAAATCACTGATAAAAAAAAAAAAAAAAAAAAAAAAAAAAACTTGAATGCCTTAAGGGATGATTCTGAGGCCAGAGTGCTGTTTAGGACATCCGCCATTCTATGAGTCTGCTGTGTATCCCACTTCCCATGTTGGATCGTTCTCTTCCTTTTTTTTATTCTATCAGTATTTGCAGACACTAGTCTTATTTATGTGATCCCTTTGACTCTTAGTCCTATCATTATGATCAACTGTGAACAGAAATTGATCACTTGGACAAGTGAGATGGCATTGGTACAGGCCACCTTGATGGGATTGAATTGGAATCCCCTGGTATGTATCTAACTCTACCATTTGGGGCAAGTCCAATTAAGCATGTCCCAAATTGTATATCTCATCCCTCTCTTATTCCCACTCTTATATTTAACAGGGATCACCCCATGAGAGTATTTCAGGCATGGAAAGCCAAAACACTATGGCAAAAAAAAAAATGACCTAAATGAAAGATCTCTGTGAGTGAGATCCCAGTGGGAAGAACAGGTCATCAAAAAAGGAGGTACCTTTCTCTGAAGGGAGGAGAGAACTTCCACTTTGACTATGACCTTGTCTAAATAAAATCAGAGTCGGTGAACTCAAAAGGCTTCCATAGCCTTGGCAACTCATGACAAGAGCCTAGGGTAATTACTGACACCATAAACAAGAGTGTCAATTTGTTAAGTCAACAACAGGAGTCACTGTGCACTTACTCCTCATGTAGGATCTCTGTCCTTAATGTGCTGTACATTGTGATTTAATGCTATAACTAGTACTCAAACAGTATTTTTCACTTTGTGTTTCTGTGTGGGTGCAAACTGATGAAATCTTTACTTAATATATACTAAATTGATCTTCTGTATATAAAGAGAATTGAAAATGAATCTTGATGTGAATGGAAGGAAAGAGAGAGTGGGGGTGGGAGGGAAGTTATTGGGGGGGGGAGCCATTGTAATCCATAAGCTGTACTTTTGAAATTATATTCATTAAATAAAATAAATACAAGTTAAAAAAATAAAAAATAAAGTTTTTTTTTTTTTTTGACAGGCAGAGTGGACAGTGAGAAAGAGGGAGAGACAGAGAGAAAGGTCTTCCTTTTTCCATTGGTTCACCCTCCAATGGCCGCTGCACCAGCACGCTGCAGCCAGCACACCAAGCTGATCTGAAGCCAGGAGCCAGGTGCTTCTCCTGGTCTCCCATGGGGTGCAGGGCCCAAGCACTTGGGCCATCCTCCACTGCACTTCCGGGCCACAGCAGAGAGCTGGACTGGAAAAGGAGCGACCGGGACAGAATCCGGTGCCCCGACCGGGACTAGAACCGGGGTGCCGGCGCTGCAGGTGGAGGATTAGCCTATTGAGCCGTGGCAGCAGCCTTGTTTAATTTTCAACAACCCTATATGGTACATTTTATTATTCCTATTTTGCAATAAGAATGATTTGAAGAATGATTTCCTATACTACTCAGAAAAAGAGTGCTGTGCTGGAAATGTATGTTATTCTTTAAGTGAGATAAAGAAAACTGAAGAATTGATTCATATTTGCTTTATTTTCACTTAAAGACTTGAAAGCTAAACAGGAAATAAGACTGCAACATAGTAGGACTGGGAACAAGTAGGAAAGTCCTAGAAGCAGTTACTTCACAGTGTGTACTTTTATATATCATTGTGATTGTTGAACCATGGTTATATTATTTCATTTAAAAATAAATTCTTGGGGCAGGTATTTGATGCAGTAGCCAAACATTTCTTGGGACACTTGCATCCCATATCATAGTCCCTGGTGCAGATTCTGGCTCTGTTTCTAATTCACCTTCCTGCTAATGCAGGTCCTGAGAGGAATCAGGTCGTGGCCTAAATACTTGTGTCTCTGCAACCCACATAGGAGGCTCAGATTGAATTCTAGGCTCTGGGCTTTTGGCTTTGGTCTTGCCCAGTTCCAGCTGCTATGGGTATTTGGGGAGTGAACCAGTGGACAGGAGATGTGTGTGTGTGTGTGTGTGTGTGTGTGTGTGTCTCCCTCTCTCTACCTTTCTAATAAAATTATTTTTAATACTTTAAAAAATTAAAATGAACTCTTTCTAAGTAATTAATTAGTAACCTCTCCAGTGCCACACAGCTTTGGAGTGAGGGAGGAAGAATTTGAATCCTGGTTTCTTGGAGTCTAAAATTCATGTATTTTTGCCTTCCTGCCATGTGACTATCTCCTGGGAGGGAAAGTTCTTTACAGTGACCCTCTCTTTAACAGCAAAATCCTTGTCAGGCACTGAAACATCGCCTACAATGTTTGCCTGGGTGTGAGGACATCTACAACTCCCGTTTGAAAGGATCTAACTCCCATTATAGCTCTGCCCTGCTGTGTTTACCAGATCAAATGATGGAAAAGCAGGCTGGATTTACTGTCACATGGACATGAGTTCAGTGTTTTTGCAGTTTCAAGCTGAGATGGATTAAAGTCAAAGTTATCTAGTTTTTTTCTTTTTTCTTTTCTTTTTTTTTTTTTTTTGCTGCCCCAGCAAAGGAGCAGAAAAAGTTGCATGTTTGATAAAAAGTGTTAATTTTAGAGGAGAAATACCCAATCCCGTGTTCTTTTAAGGACTGGATGGCATCCTGCTCTCTAATCTGAGTTTCTAAGTGTAGATGGGATAGTCCCACTCAGGATAGCCTGGTAGGGATGACCACTGATGGCTACATCTTCATTCCCTGCACACTTACTAAAGCCTGGACTCCCCAAAACAATGTTGTCTATGACCCAAAGCTTCCTGAAGCACCTCTGCACCTCTTCTGGGTGGAAATGGAGAGACCCTCATTGTGGCCATCCAAAAATGTTGCAGGTGCACTGGGGGTATGTGTGGGGAGGATGGAGAAGAGCCAGATTCTCCTTTCTTTGTCTCTGTGTGTTTGTGAGCTGGATTCTTGGCATTACTGAGCCCCTATTCCTAATCAGACAAACAGGAGTAAGGCTCCTTGCCACACAGCTCATCAGGAACACGGGGTGCCAGAGGGAGGAAGCAGCTAGACTGCTGGTTATGCCTGCCTCACACCATGCTGATGAGTGGGTGAGCATCTTTGTTCTGCTCTTTCAAGAACCATTATTTTCCAGCTCCACTTGGAACTTTCCTACAAAATCCCCCACCCCAGCCTGCAGGTGACTCCCAGTGTTACCCAGGGCAAGGGTTCAACGACGATGACGCACCTCCTCCTCCTCCTCACGGTGGTACTCGGCAATGAGGTTAAAGGGCACGGTGTATAGAGTGCTGGACATTACGCCAAACAAGGCACACAGGACCAGGGTGGAGTAGACGTTCGGGAAGAGCCCAATAAATCCTGTCCCCAGGCCAAACAGAAAATACCCCATGAAGTAAAGACCCTTTAATCCGATGTAGGATACCAAAGACTTCTGAAAGTCTGTGGGGAGAAGAGAGGGAGAGATTACAGCTGGTGGCGCCTCACAGCACTCAGTAATGTCAGACAATCTTTTCTTTTGAAGATTCACTTTCTTTTAGGAGACGCCCTTTGATACTGAGTCAGAAACAAAAGAGCCTCCTTATCTGTGGGTTGAAAACATCTGGCTTTGGATTCCATCTTAAATCCTTCACATACAGGGCAGCCTGAGGTTGCTTTGCTAGACTGGTTTTCATTCCCACAGAGGAGGGCCAGGCACTGTTCAGCAGGCAGCTGAAGGGCAAAAGGATGCAGAAGAGGGGATGAGAAGCCTCACCTTGACTGTGGGACTCTCGGGATGCAAGGCGTGGGAGAAAAGTAGGGGTGATCCTAATTAGAGATGTCTGGCACAATTGGACCAAACAACAGTACAGGCCAACCTTGGCCCAATGGCTCATGGGACAAATGAAAACATCCAGGTTTTGCAGAATGAGCCAAGGCCTTCACAATTTCCTAGCCCTCACCAGGATGAAATCTACACACCCAAGAACGAAGTAAAAGGTCACACGAATATCTGCAGGAGCTTTTCCCTGTCTTGGTCTGGTAAGTGGCCACCACAGTCTGGTAAGTGCCTATTCTCTTTTTTTTTTTTTTTTTTTTTTTTTTTTTTTTTTTTTTTTTTTTGACAGGCAGAGTGGACAGTGAGAGAGAGAGTCAGAGAGAAAGGTCTTCCTTTTTCCATTGGTTCACCACCCAATGGCCGCTGCAGCCAGCACACCGTGCTGATCCGAAGCCAGGAGCCAGGTACTTCTCCTGGTCTCCCACGTGGGTGCAGGGCCCAAGGACTTGGGCCATCCTCCACTGTACTCCCGGGCCACAGCAGAGAGCTGGACAGGAAGAGGGGTGACTGGGACAGAATCCAGCACCCCGACCGGGACTAGAGCCCAGTGTGCCGGCGCCACAGGTGGAGGATTAGCCTAGTGAGCCTACCTACCCACTCTTCATGGGCAAGTTCCTTAACCTCTCAGCACTGGATCATCTGAAAAACGGGAACAATAAAACTCTCCTCTGGGGTTGGTGTCAAGACTGAATGTGATGAAATGGCTGAGAAATCACCCAGCCCAATGCCAAACCCATAGAAGACATCTAGTTAGTGTGTTATTGCCATTTCAACAAATAGAGGCCTGGGTGAGGTCAGATCATGATTACCTGAGCTCCCCTCCCAGTAAGTAAACACAGCATGCTCATCAAAGCACAGGGTAAGGCTGTTTTAAAAACTAAAAATTCTGCTTTAAAAATGTATGATGTTGGCCAGCGCCACGGCTCAGTAGGCTAATCCTCCACCTTGCGGCACCGGCACCCCGGGTTCTAGTCCCGGTCGGGGCACCGGATTCTGTCCCAGTTGTCCCTCTTCCAGGCCAGCTCTCTGCTGTGGCCAGGGAGTGCAGTGCAGGATGACCCAGGTGCTTGGGCCCTGCACCCCATGGGAGACCAGGATAAGCACCTGGCTCCTGCCTTTGGATCGGCGTGGTGTGCCGGCCGCAGCGCGCCGGCTGTGGAGGCCATTGGAGGGTGAACCAACGGCAAAGGAAGACCTTTCTCTCTGTCTCTCTCTCTCTCTCTCACTGTCCACTCGGATTGTCAAAAAAAAAAAAAAAAAAAGGTATGATGTTTTCCACAATGGTAGGGAAAATCTCCAGAGTGTTTATCTTCCTTTTTTAATCTGTTTTTTTTAATCTGCACATTTCTTATCTCTCCCCTACTCTGTTCTACTGGAACACACAAACCAGGAGGTAAATGCTAGATATTTGAAGTAAACCTATTGAAGCAGGAAACTTTCCATATCTATCCAAATAATTATTGGACTTAACATTGGACAAAAAAACATAATTTGCATCATACTTGAATCAATTCTGAAACAATACACTGTCTCTATCCGAAAGAACACAAAGCTCTGGAAATGACAAGTGGACTATCTTGCATCCTCTATTAAATTCAAGCCATGCCTGCAGGGCCATTGTTAAGGTTGAGAATGAAAACAGTATAATGCTAGGTTGGTTTCTATTTGCATAATGCTGATATTTATGCAGAAAAGGCAATCCAAGGTGTCTCAGTACCTGAAAGACACCTCCAATAGTCACTGGGGATATGCTTTCATGCAAGTGTGTAGGCCAGTGGGGAAAAAAAAACAAAGAAAGGAAAAGAGATATTTCGAAATACACATAACCTCTGTACAAAGACTGACGGTCTGGTAAAGAATGTTTTATTCATGAAGGGAAATCAGTAAATTTCAGGGCCAACCTTGCCTTGCCCGCTGATAGGTCTGATACCCCGTGGCAGTCAGATGCTTACACAGTGCCTCTCTTTTTTTTTTTTTTTTTTTTTTTTTTTTTTTGACAGGCAGAGTGGACAGTGAGAGAGAGAGACAGAGAGAAAGGTCTTCCTTTGCCATTGGTTCACCCTCCAATGGCCGCCGCGGCTGGCGCGCTGCGGCCGGCACACCGCGCTGATCCGATGGCAGGAGCCAGGAGCCAGGTGCTTTTCCTGGTCTCCCATGGGGTGCAGGGCCCAAGCACCTGGGCCATCCTGCACTGCACTCCCTGGCCACAGCAGAGGGCTGGCCTGGAAGAGGGGCAACCGGGACAGAATCCGGCGCCCCGACCGGGACTAGATAGAACCGGGTGTGCCGGTGCCGCTAGGCGGACGATTAGCCTAGTGAGCCGCGGCGCCGGCCCACAGTGCCTCTCTTTAGGGTTGGAGGGAGATGATAAATTTTAGCACCAGTTACATGTGGGGAAATGTGTTCTTACAAGAATGAGAGTAGCAGTAAATAGTCCCCTCACTTCTTGAAATCATGAAGGAATTAAGACAGATAATTGGTTAGACCATTTGTTCTCATACTCTCCATTTCTAAGCATTTGAAATCTTCCTCCTGGAATTTTCTGAGTTCACTCACTCTAACAGAAAGAAAAGGTTTGCTAAAGAAACGTTAAGCTAAGCCAGGCATCGTGGAGCAGCTGGTTAAGCCGCCATTTGGGACAGCTGCATCCCATGCCCATGTCAGCATGCGTGGTTCAAGTCCTGGTTACCCCGTGCTTCCAATTCAGTTTCCTGACAATGCCCTTGGAGGTAGCAAAAGATGGCCCAAAGGCTTGCGTTCCTACCACCCAGGTGGGAGACCCGGATGGAGTTCCTGGCTCCTGGCATTCGCCTGGCTTAGCCCTGGCTGTTGAGGGCATTTAGGAAGTGAACCTGTAGATGGAAGTGTTCTCTTCCTCTCTCTCTCTCTGCCACTCTGCTGTTCAAGTAAATAAATAAATATATCTTTTTAAAAAAGAAAAGGAATGTAAGCTTTCACTACCACTATTTGGTTATTAAATAGTAAATATTATTAAACTGTGAATTTTATGGTTTGTGATTATTGAATTCATGAACACCTTTTATCATTAGCCCCCTTTTTCCCAATTATGCTAAATTTTTAAAGAGCTCTCGAAGAAGGTTTCCAACTGTGCTATGGGCAGGCGAAGGGTAGAGGTAGGCTCAACCATTTGCACGTTAGTGACACGGTGCTTATGAGAATGATAACAGGGATTCTCCCCCATGTCCTCTCCTTTGCCTGACCTGAGCCATATCCCTGTTGTTCCCTGGGCCTGTACAAGGCCTGGGACTCTGAGTTGGGATCAGTCACTCTCCTCACAGCCCTAGAGCAACATGGAGGGGTGAAAAGACCTCATTATAATAATGAGCCAAGTTTCCACCATAAATAGGGAACCTAGATACATATTTCAACGTTTACAGAGGCTGAGATCTCAGCTAGCGCAAACAAGGTAAGCCAGGGTGATGCCCTAGAGTTACAACACAACCATTTGGACTTACTTAAAATCAGCGACAGAAACAGCTTTGTCCAGCCTCCTCACAGCTGAAACTTAGCTCCATGGAGGATTAAAGGCTCAAGAAAGCTGGCACCAGAGGGCAGCCAGTTGATCATAATTCTTTAATAGCACTCCTTTAGGTTACCACCCTGTGCATCTGTGCTCCGATCATTCCACTTGTTGACTTTGTCTATGAATGCCTCCAGAGATCTTGCCTCAGCAGACCATGGATCTGCTGGCACTCCATCTCTCACCCATCCAACACTTACCCATCTTTTTTAATGAGATTCCTTTCCATTTTCCAAAGAACCTTGATCAAGAATTCACTGGTGCCAAATACAAAGGAAAATGGCACCTAGAATTCACTATGTAAAAAGATACCTTTGTGGTCCCTTCTCAGTTTTTCCTGACTTCCATATATTTATCAAGAATGTGGCTTTTTGAACAGCAGAAAATAAAACAAATGTATTAAACCTAAGTTCTTCTAGACAAGCTCCCGATGGAAGACATGCATTAGGGGAGCAAGACTTACAAGAATAAAGTGATGAAGACACGGAGTTGATGCACAAGCCCCAACATCCAACCTCAACTCCTCTTTCATAGATGAGAAACTCTGTGGAGTTGTGCGGGCTGTAGGGGTCCCCTTGGAACACAATCTGAAAGAGAAGTATGGGGTTGTTGAGCTACAGATACAATGTTGTGGAGATGCCTTCTCATGTGCTCTAGGTAGCAACGTGTCCCTGCCCAAGGATTCCTTCCCAGGGCACAGAGCTCAATGTGACAAAACCAAGTCACCCCTTTCATTCTATCACATCTCCATTCAAGGAAGACTCCTTAGACTTAAGACTTTTAGACTTCTTTGAAATCTGAAGCTTACTCTGGCTGAATCTAAACAACATTCCCCTGGATCTTTAACACCCTTCCTTTACCCAACATCTAGCCTCACCTGATATAGGCAACCCTGCCACTTACTCTCTAGTACAGCACCAGGCTTCTAGCTCATCTTCACATGCATTCCTATTCCTTTTTGAAATATTTTCTTCACCTATGCAAGGATTCTTCAACTAGTTCACAAAGAACAATGGAATTAAAAGATAAGTTTATTTTGCTACAAAAAATTTTAAATCTATACCTAGCTTTTTCATAATACACATTTTCTAGCAAATTTTTGAAGACCTCTCGTATCTCTCCAATTCCTATCCTACTCACCCTGCAAGGCCCATACTATACCTCCATTATGAAGCCTTCTATGATCACAACAGCTAGCACTGATTTTCCCCCCATTGTATCTTATCAAGTACTAGTTGGCCCTACAGTGCCTTCTAGTTGTCCAGGATAGAGCAGCTTCCTTCTACAACCAGCTCCTCGATGGTACTCGTTCTTATGCTCTTACTATGCCCATCCTAAAGGCCAGCTCAGAAGAAGCTTGACAATTGCTGATTGATTGATATGTGAGTCAATGAGGGCACACACACAAGTTCATTACCTGGCCCATGAAATCTGTGAAGAAAAGCATGTTGGACAGGAAAGCTGTCCATCCAATGAGGTGACTGATACAAAGACAGCGATAGTGGGCAGGCATGCTCACCAATGCCCTCAAAAGCGACTTCATGGTCATCGTCCTCCGAGTCTGGAATAAAACATGAAACAGGTATGAAATTCAATGTAGAGAAAGCACAGGAGCCAGAGCACACAGCTGTACTATGTGTATCTGCCACTTGGCTGTCACATGAGATCTTTTTTTTTCCTAGGCATGGCACCCAGGTTTCCATGGAATACACTCATAGTATGTGTTCACTCTGTGTGAATATTTAGTAGTTTTATGTCCTGAATGGGGATTTGGTGACTTAAGGACAAAGGGACTAGGTTGTCTTAGAATGTTGTCTTTGAATGACAGAACTGCCACACAAGAACACACCTCATATCTAGGGAGTGGGACATTTAGCATAGCAATTAAGACACCCATATCCTACATCTGAGTACCTGGATTCAAATCCTGGCTCCAGATCCTGACTCTAGTTTCCTTTCAATTAAGAAAGTGGGAGGCAGAAGTGACAGCTTAAGTAATTGGGATTGGATTCCTGCCACTCACATGAAAGGCTAGACTGTGCTCCTGGATCCTGGCTTGGGCCCTGATCCAGTCCTAGTCATTGTGGGTATTTGGGGACCAATGGTTGGGGGCTCTCTTGCTCTCGCTCTCTTTCTCTGCCTCCATGCCCTCAAATAAAAACAAGCATTGTTTAAAGGCTCATATGTAATCCAGCCCTTAGATGATGATAATTCTTAGATTTCTTGACTTTCAAAGCATGGTAAGGGAAATCCACAATGACCTTCATTATCCCTGTTCCCAAAATCTAGTTCCATGGTTACATGACAAAAGAATTTTTACAGATATAATTAAGACTACTAATAAGCTGATTTTGAACCAATGAAAAAGATTACCTGGGTGACCCTAAATGAATCACATGAGCACTTGAAGGACAGTTTTCTCCACCTCAAAGCACAAAGATTGCTGGCTTTGAGGGTGGAGAGGGTCATATGGAAAAGAACTGATGCTAGGCTTCAGAGGGTGAAAGCAATCAGCCGATAGCCAGCAATAAAACAAGGACTTCAGTCCCACAATCACAAGGAACAGGATTCTACCCACAACCTGAATGAGCTCAGAGAAAAGTCTTCCCCAGTCAAACTTGCAGGCGACAGCACAGCTCTGTCAGTGTCTTGACTTCAACCTTGTAAGACTCTGAGCAGAGAAGTTCACGGAGCCCAGTCAGACTTCTGATCCACAGAACTTTGAGATAACAAATGGGCACTCATTCAAGCTGCTGGGCTTCTGGTGGTATTTTATGCAGCAACTGACAAGTCATAGAGTCTACAACTCCCTGCTGCTGGTCACACGCCTGCTGCCAGGGAATTGCTCTGCATCCTGCCATGACACATGAGAACGTGCCCCATGTTGAGTCAAAATGAGAAAAATGTAGAGCTCAAACACACACACCACACACACACCACACACCCATCACACACCACACACATGTACCATATACACACCACACACTACACACATTCCACACTCAGCAAATACACATGCACTACACACCCCAACCACACACCTGCCTTACATACATACCATACAGTCCAACTACACACATGCCACACATAGACACACATTACACACACATCACACACCCATAGTGCATACACACACAACACAATATACTTAACACTACATATGCACACACACAAGAAGTCTTCAAAAATTTCATGAAAATGCATATTATAAAAAAAACATGGATTCAATTTTCCTTTGCACAGCAATAGTTACATTTTAATTACATTTCTATGAACTTTTTAAAGTACCTCTTATATACGTACATGCACATAATGCATACAGGTGTCCCAAACTCTTTTAGATTTAAATTATATTAAACAAGAGTCTATAATCTTTGGGTTTTAAGGAACCCTGAGAGAATGATGACTCAAACTATAAACACAATGTCTTTTTTGTGTGTTTCTTTTGTTTTCAGAGTGAGCAGAGTTAGATTGATTGAACATGCTGGAGGGAGCAGCAGGCAGGCAGGCAGGGTAGCCAGCAACTGACAACTGCTGCCGACACAACTGTTTTGAAACACAAAGTACGACACGGCCTTTAGCACCCTGTCACAATGAGCGAAGAAAGGCACCACAGACGTGCCGAGCAGTCAGCTGCCTGGAAGACACTGAGCCGTGGTGTTCACCATGTGGCATGATGGTATGTTCCTGTCTGATTTTCATTTATGCTGAATCTCGACATGATGAAATTGGGTCCTGAAACATTTATTTATAAGATGGTCTCCTGTGTAACTACAGTCATGTGTTGTTTTATAACTTCTAACTTTGTGTGACAATTCTTTGTTGTAGAAAATTATATTTACTCATTTTAGCTTTTTTGTATAAAATTATCAATCTTATAGTAATGAACTCACTGACCATGACTGTACTGATTTTTGTATATTTAACCAGCATCAAGAAGTACAGCCATTCCCCTAGAGTGAGAAAAAATAACTGTCTTTCTGTAGGTAGAACATGGCACCTGTCCAAATAAGTGAGAGTTGTAACACAAATGTAGTGCAGAATTATTACCTTTTCCTCAACCACAGAAAAAGCAGCTGAAGATCAGCCTAGGGGACACCAGCCTGGTTTCTGTACCTCAGACTCAGTGGTTGTCTTCACTCTCCTCTCCCTCTTTCCAAAATCGCACAGTTGAGAAAGTTAATCTGATCATCAAATATTCAGCCTCAGTGAAATATTAATTTATGCCTCTGCCTTACACATAATTTTCAAACCACTTTCATTGTAGCCCCATTGTTCTTTTCTCCCCAAAAATAAACAGGCCTTTTCAACTTGTGCCCAGGATTTCTGTAAAGGCTGGTGATGTAAATATTCAGGGCTCTGTGGGATATTTTAACTCAGAATGAAAATTCAGCTGGCACCACATTTCTGACTCATCAGTTGCTGCAAGGCCCTTTCACTGGTGTTGAGCTCCCTGGGAGTTGTTTTGCTGCATAAAACTCGCACCACTGTCAGCTGCAGAGGGGATATTGATGGATTTATGAGTGGGGAAAAAAAGATACAGAAATGCCAGGGGAAGGAGAACTCCATAAACGTGCATCAAACGGAGACTTCAAATGCTAAAGGGGGCAACTGAGGCATAGAGGACTCCAGATGGACTTGATGGGATCCACTCTGAACTCTAAAATAATTCAGGCCCCTCAGCATGAAAAATCGCAGCTCTCAAAGTGCACAGCCACCCTCTCTTTGGAAAGAAATGACTGACAAATCATGGCAGCCTTGGTGCTGGCCCTGACACAGTGTAGACGTCCCAGGTCAGCTGGAGACCTCCCAGGACAACACACATATAGAAGGAAGTACCCTGTGCTTGACTTTGAGCCTAGGACACATTGCCCTGCTTTTATTATTATTTTGTTTTTTCAAATCAAGTAGCCAAACCACTCAGTCTACAACATTGTACAGGTAGGTGGCACATACTAGAAACTCATTAATTTTTTCCTTATTTTTTTTGATTGACAAAATTGTATATCTTTAGGATATACAATATAACATTTTGAAATATGTACACATTTTAGAATAACTAATGAGGCTAATAAATATATTAATTCAAATATTTATCAATGTGTTGGGCTGAGGGTGCTTACAATGTACTCTTATCAATTTTCAAGTACGCAATACATTGCTGTTGTACGGCACCATGTCGTACAACAGATCAGACCAACCTCCAGAATTTATTCCTCCTAACCTCTCAATCAGCATCTGTCCTGTGAAAGTTGTCTGAACTGCATCTGATGCGTTTGTTTTCTTACTAACGTGGAGGGTTTTATGCTTTGCAAAAGGCTTCCCCTCTCTTAATTTTATCTGATCCTCAGAACAGCCTTAGAGGGCTGAGACAACCCACACTGGGTGACTTCTTGAGGGAGACCTACAGTCTTCCCAAGGGATGGTGAAAGAGGCAGATAATCAATCAGGGTAATGTCCGGCTCTTCAGTAAAACTCCCTGTTGTCTTGTTCCTTAAACCATGACATTATTTATTCTTTATTGTCACGGTTTTCTAATTTTTTCTTTATTTTGTATATCCATTATAGAAAGTTTAATATGATTCAGAGGTTTTTTAAAGAAAATTAAAATGACTTGTTAGCCTATCACCCAGAGAAAATAACTGCAGTTAGCATTTTCGTTGTATTTTCTTCCCATTTTTTCTCTGTATGTGTACTGTTTTTCCCAAAATGTAGATAACTGCGAGCATGTAGATGTGTTTCACCTAATATATTGTGCTTTTCAGAAATTTTCAAAAACAGACACATCTTTAAAGACCAGAAGACTTCACTGTACACTCGTTCCATGACGCCCCTTCTGTCAGGCAGAAGTGCACAAAGAGTGGTCCCAGGGTTCTGATTAATCAGTGAAAGAGAAGCAGAGGGGCAGGTATTCTTCTCCCAGGCAACCTGGTGTAGGGAAAGGGAGTAGAGCTCAGTCTCCAGTGACCTACCTGCTCATATTTTCTCTATTTGCTCTGTGGTCAAGATAAAGTGAAGGGGCTGGTGCTGTGGCTCACTTGGCTAATCCTCCACCTGCAGCGCCAGCATCCCATATGGGCACCAGGTTCTGGGCCCGGTTGCTCCTCTTCCAGTCCAGCTCTCTGCTGTGGCTTGGGAAGGCAGTGGAGGATGGTCCAAGTGCTTGGGCACCTGCACCCGTGTGGGAGACCAGGAAGAAGCACCTGGCTGCTGGCTTCGGATTGGCGCAGCACTGGCCGTAGTGGCCATTTGGGGGGTGAACCAACAGAAAAGGAAGATCTCTCTCTCTCTCTCTCTCTCTCTCTCTCTCTCTCTCACTGTCTAACTCTGGCTGCAGAAGATAAAGTGAAGACTTCATGCCAATGATTTCTTAGTGCTTCCTTGTACTCTTCCTGTGTGGAAAGCAGTTCATTCATCCTAAAATAGGAGCTCCTGCTGGAGTCAGACAAATGGAAGATTGTTCTTTTCTATTACATTCTTTTTTTTTTATGTGTGTTTTTTTTCTTTAACTTTTATTTAATGAATATAAATTCCCAAAGTACGGCTTATGGATTACAATGG